AGGTTATCAATTTATAAATAGGAAAGGTAGATGCGCTTTCACAAATCAACTGTTTATTCTGCTGACGTTTCGACAGGAGTTCCGTCTTTTTTCAAGGCATAATCAAGGCATACGCATTGAAAAAGACGGGGCTCCCGTCGAAACGTAGGCAGAATAAACAGTTGTTATGTGAAAGCGCATCTACTTCACACACACACACACACACACACACACACACACACACACACACACACACACACACACACACACACAACATATATATATATATATATATATATATATATATATATATATATATATATATATATATATATAATGACATCTAACAGACAGTAATGCCAAGGAATGTACAGGGAAGTTATTAGAACCAAAGGAATGTAAATAAAAAGAAAGAAAAGTGGATGAAAAATAACCGGCTGTGAGCTCACGTGAGCCTGCTCACGGCTCGTTATTTTTTCATCCACTTTTCTTTCTTCGTATGTACATTCCATTGGTTCTAATGACTTCCCCTGTACATTCCTTGGCATTACTGTCTGTTAGATCTCAATAATATTGTGTTAAAACACGGGAGAACGAGCCCTTAGGTATACACTTCTTTCCCTTATATATATATATATATATATATATATTATATATATATATATATATATATATATATATATATATATATATCTATATATATATATATATATATACTCAGCTACGCTATTAGCGGATTCTTATAAGAAAAGTGGCTGAAGGAACGGTGCATTTCTGCCTCAAAGATTTGCTTACGTAAATATTAGATCGCATGCGCAAGCAAATTTGACTCAAACAATGCCTTTATGCCATTTTCAAGCTAAAAGCACGGGAGAAGTACAGACAAGCCAAGGTGGTGTGGTGATAGTGGCTGGAAGAATAAAAAGGCGCTTAACCAATTGCCCAAAGTGGGTACGGGCCATTTATCCAAGGAAAGAAACAAATTTCTGCAGCCCGGTAGGAAGCACAGCGCAGCGCCTGCAAGCCAAGGTCGACGCAGCAATCGCGTGCTAGCAGAGAAACACGGAAAGGGGGAAAGCAGATGTGGAAAAAAAAAAAAAACGTTTACTACTGCATGGTTCTACTTGCCCGGCCTGTGGCCCCGTAAGCTCCGATTGGGAAGACAGAATCACCCCTCTTTTTTATGGTATTTCTTCTCTCCCCACACAGATCAGCACGTGCGTTCCTTCGAAAGAAGTTGTGCAGTTCGGCTTTAGAGACAGAACACATACACCACGCGCCCCCTCTCTCTCAGAGAAAAAGAGACCTAAATGTAGGAAAGGATTGGGGGCCTTTCGCTTTTTTTCCTACTTTTTTTTTAGGTCGCGGTGTTACGAAGGAGACAACGCTCGGAGCGCTGACGAATTGCGGAAGCGCTACCATGCTAAGTCGTAAGACGCACGTGCATTGAGCAGCATTTCCTTGGTCATGTTCCTAGAGGCAGTCCCGCTGCTAAAGATTTCATGCGTACTCGTAAGTGGCAATGCTTCCTAACTCATGGAAATTTTGTCTCTTGGAAAAATTTCAGACGATCTGTGCAATCGATGTGTCAATCCGTTATTCTCCTCTAGCTGACGGATAAGAGTGGTTCAGGTTAACGGCTGTTGTATCAGTCGTCGTTGATCGTTCACAAGTAATTATATGCCTTTCGTGTTTTTGTTTGTTCGTTTGTATATTGAAAGAGCATGACAAATATTTCTATTTTTTCTATTAGGAGCACTGCAACAAGAACTGCAAAAAGGTGTGAATAGCGTGATGTACTGGTCTCGCCGTGCTGAAAGGAACACTGGTAAGATGCATGCTTGGTTGCTAAAGCCCTACGCAATTTTTTCACGTTACATTAGGTAGCAAATGAGCTGTAAACGATGACTGAAAAATATCTGCCTGGCCCGCCTTGAAGGTAAGATGTGTTGTTCTTAATTCATTTGTTGTACTGTTTGTTTTCCAGCGACATATTACGAAGACACTGTGTGCTCTGGGGCTGCAAGCACGTTTCAGAATGTCAACGCACTGACATAATCAATGTAAATGCACAGTTTTTTTACTTGTGTGTATAACCACAAAATTGTTTTGCCGAATAGTGCGAAACTAGTCATGCAAATAGTCTGATTCTGTTTGTTGTTTTCAGCTTTTCCCAGCAGCAAAACGATACAAGCCTCACATTTCGGTGGTAAAACGTCGCACACCGAATACGTATTCACAGCCAAGAAAAAACTAATTGACCGAAAGAGAGAGCTGATCTAGCCGTGATACCACTGCATCAACGTTATATTTGGGCTGCACAAGGTCTGCTGCAAATCGTTCTATGCGAACAATGTTGCATGGAAAAATAATTCATTTATACAACCGCAGAATAAACCTAAAAAGTGATGAAGCTGACGTTCAAGCTCTCTTATTGCGTGTCAAGTATTCACACGTTAACAAGTGCAGACTTTAGAGGCGTTTAATTTTGTCTAACATGTGCACTGAGTTAAATTCATGTGCACAAAATAAAAAAAAACGAAAACAGAGCAAGGAATTTTGGCAACAAAGCTGTAGCTATCGGTAAATCGACGCCTATGTAAGGTCGGACCATGGCAAAACGGCCTGCGGCACTCTGGCTCGTTGCTCAACGCGGTCGGGCCTACGTTGGGCGCCGACGTAGGCCTGCGTGAAGTGATTGGCAATCCCCAAGACCGGCCCTGCATTGGTTGCCAAGGTCGGGCCAGCCTGGAAGTAGCTAGCGATTGACGACGGGCCAACGTTTTACCAAGGATAAAATGTTGCTTGGGATATGATGTGAGAGCTTTGTGATCCAGGCATGAATCGCTTGCTCGACTAATATTTATACAACTGCCGTATATTGTTTTCAGTTACTCTTCCATATCATAGCATCAACGCGTTCATGTACCAGCAGCTCAGCACATCACGTGGCAGCTAACAGAGGGAGGGACGTCGGAAAGTGCAACGATAAAAGGGGAAAATCATTCTCGCCCTCCTTGTGCCGTAGACAGCTGGAAAAAGCCTACCGGGCTGACGTGAATAACCATCGAAAATGTTCATGTGTACATTGGCAGAAATTCTGTCGTCGTACTTACCGAAAATTTTAGCCCAACGCAGTACACAAAATCTTTTTCGCGAACGTGCTTGCCGCGCGTGCCATAATGAATGCTTGTTTCTTCCCTATACTTAACTTTCTACAAGCATTAATTAATCATAAATTATTCACAAGCCCTGCGTTATATGGGTCCCCCCTGTCCACGAGGCATACACGCCATGATCACACACATGCATTAAACCCTCATTTTACAAGGGCGGATACATAAAAACATTCTTTCTGCCCTAGAACAGTATCGGAGTGGAACTCGAAGAATGAACCTTTCTAAAGTAGCTCATTACCCCTGTCTTAATCTTTGTACCACAATATTCTTGGTAAATCTTGTATTTGATTCCTATTATCTTCATATTACCGTATTTATATTATATTGGTAATATGTTGCATTTCTTGTTTACATATTAGTGTTCTTTCTGCGTTATGTTTGACGTTTTGTATATGGTTCGGTTTAAATTTATTGATATTTTGTATTGGACTTCCTGTCCTATATCTAGAATCAGTGCCCTTCCTGCAAAAACCGAAGTGTGGTCTGAAGTATGCTATAAATAAATAAATAAATAAATAAATAAATAAATAAATAAATAAATAAATAAATAAACAAATAAATAAATAAATAAATAAATAAATTGTCGACAGCGTAGAACATGCATCACCCTGCTTCTTGATTTTGGGGTACGTATGCATAAAAACTGACACCAGGTCAAGAAGTATAGTGGCCGCATTCATCCAAGGGCGGAACAGAACGGCTGCTGTGATCCCACGCCTCGGGGATCCTCCTTGCCAGCGTGGTGCAAGAATAATGTAATAAATTCCTAAATGTTCAGATCCGTGAAGTGCACCGTCGTACTTACCAAATTTTAACTCCAATCGGCTGACTCAAAATTCTTGTGGATGCATGGATGCTCAAAAAAAAGGCCGCTGAGTGAGTGGCACACCAGGAGATGAGCGCTTAATTAGGTCTCTCGCCATTTCAGTTTTATCAGTTGAGTGCATCACTGCCTCGAGGTTTTGGAAGAGTTTATTCCTGTTAGGCTGGCTCGAATGCGTCCGGCATTGCGGTATCAAGCGGTCAAGAAACCTATTGGCTAGAACATGAACTGGCTTGGGGTTGAAAGCCAGCGTGCTGCTTTATGACGTCGTAGGTAAGTCATGTGATGTCACTTACTACGTCACAGCGCCGGTGACGCCAGTGGTCGCCCTCGAGGCCAATGCAGTAATACTAGCATTCGTCAACTATTCGCGCCATGTCGGCACGATGGCATATGCTTGCTGTCACTGTTTTAAAGATAGACATCCATAGACACTTATAGACTATAATAGGCATAAAGGCGCAGACGTCATAAATAGGCATTAGTAGGCACTATAAAAATACTATAAAAGACGTGTTGAGCCTCGAATTCATGCTCATGATATCAAAGGGGCGCCACAGCAGTGTAAAAACTGGATTTTCGGGCATTTGCCTAAAATGTGGTCTCGAAGAATCACAGGACAGCGCACATATGCAATTTCTGGTGCTTGCCGCTGTTCCCGTTTCGCTTGGCGCTTATCACGTGCGGCCGCGCATTAAGTTCGCAGTGGCTGTCCAAGCCCCCCGCCGGCACAAATTCATGTTGTGAAAAGCAAAAACAGTGCAAAATAGAGGAAGCAATCTTGAAAAAGAAAATACACACAAGACTTGTAGGACAGTGCTCGTTCTATGTCTTTCTTCGTTCGTGTGGTCTTTTTTGCTCTGTTGTTTTATGGCCAACTGGCCCAATGAAACACACTACATTATGTTCCTTCGCCTGAGTGATACTACCGGCACGTGTCATCTCGCCTTGTGCCTGTGCCAGTCTGCAGCCTTCGCAAGCTTTCGGTCGCGTATATATAAAAACACACAAAGCGGACAGCGATTATATCGAATTGGACTTTATATACGGAACATGAAGGCGGTGGCAAAAGCGTTCTTCGAGTGTCCCTATCTTTGCTATCACAAGAGAAGTGTTGCAGGGTACCATTTCCCGCTATTTCGGAAAATTCACGCAGTTGCGACGCCGTAGACGTGGTAACTGTACTGAAAAGGGAGGTCCAAGTCTACCTCTTCCACTTGGACATACTCGAAGCCGGCCTCCTGGAAGACGCGGCCGCTGTCTCTGTTCATGTAGCAACCGCCGGTCATATACTGGACGAGTGGTGCCAGCAGGTCTTGCATAAACCTTGCGAATGTGCCCTTCTTGTGTCCTACGTGCTCGGCGAAAAGGAGGCGGCCACCCTGCAGGTATACACAATGACCACGTTTAGGAGGAGTGCCCTTCTGGGACAAAAATGACAGATTAAAGCGGGACAGAAACTCCATGAAAGTGTGGAAGTCCGGCAGTTCTTGTACACACCATAATATTATTTTGCTAACAATCCACTTTTGTACTGTAGCTTCTCAAGGTGTAGCTGAGCGGGGCTCTTGAAGGAATTGCCCCCTCAAACAATATTAGGAGCTGTTGTAATTCGTTGGTGCTGACTATGGTACATTGTTTTTTTTTTCTACTCGTCTGTGCACTCTTTAAAGCAAATAACCTAGACCTGCTCAAGCTGCGCCACCCATTTTCTCGTATGGGAGACCAGATCTTACTTAAAGATGGCTGAAATTTTGGTGTCTATTTACGCCACTCTCTGAATAATAGCGGAGTTCTGGGAACACAATGAAGACGTTCTTCTGATGTCACATGACGCATAGTTTCGGTTGACATTTGATGAATTATATGCACGTAAAAACACCACGTAGCCGAAAATCCAGGAGCCCTCCACTGCGGCATCTCAGAAAATCCTGCAGTGGTTTTAGAAATTGAAACTCAAACAACAGCAAACAATTTATGAAGACCGCTATAGAGGTTGTTCTTGTCGAATCACCCTAAAATACTGTGCCACACTGTCAGGCGTTTGAGGAACACAGAGTGATAAACGGTTATAGCAGGCTAGTAAGATCTGGCGAAGTGACAAACGTGAACAGCTCTCGTGTTCACGAACAGCTGTCTCAAAATGATAAATAAAGACCACATGTTGGCATTGAGAAGCACATATGAAGGAGTCATTGAGAAGGCGGTGCACCAAACAGGTAGCTGCGTTTCAGCTATTTTTGTACGACTCGCCCCCTCACCACAACGAGAATTTACCACCCTGGTGCAGTGTTTTGCAGCCGCCTCCAAAGACAGACCTCCAATGACACACTGGCTATTATTTTTCGATATCCATGGGAAGCATCTGACCACAGCGGTGGTAAGGCTTGTAACGTGCAAGGCAAGGCTGTTAGAAAAATAACAAGACTCAGACTGGCTACCACTGGATACTGTATATGAAAACGCTGAACGCTCGAACTCTCTCGAGGGAATATAGACCAGCGGTGCTCCTCGGAGAATTAGCTGGCGTCAACTGGGATTCAAGTTGCTTTAGCTGGCTGAAAAAAATTGAGCACTGTCCACGGGCCATGTCCTCTGTAGCAGAGGAGGAGTAATACTTGGTGTTTCTGATCCACTGCAAGAAGCGTTCATGAATCTTCATTATCAGTAAAGAAGACGTCCTGATGCAGGTAAATAGAAGATATTGTCGCGGCAAAGTTAACTAAGCATGGGCACTGTTCTATCGTGGCCGAGGAAAGACACGGACGCCGGGACCAGACAGGAACGAATGCCCCTTTATTGAAGGAATGCTCTACTTTTAAAGCGCTTTATCGTGACGACGGTCGTACGTCATGGTTCGTTTGATAACCGATATCACACTCTTCCCTTCTTAGTGAAACAACAGTCATTTATTTAAACTTGCTCTTTTCGTGAAGTCTTTCTCAGCGTACCGCTCAGGAGGCTTTCGCACGCGGGTGCCTCGTCGTGGTAATGCTGACGATGACTCGTTGCCTGTAGGAATAGGCTGCTCAACTGCTGGGGAGCCAGATTCGGTCTTGTTAAGCCCTGCATTCCCTCTTTCTGTACCTGATGATGCGTCTAGAGGTGGTTCTAATGGTAGGACCTGGGGAGTCTGGTCGTTGCTAGAATCTCTTAACTCTGATGAGGTTGCCTGAGTTGGATTTTGTCTTCTTGGCCAAGGTTCGCTTGACGCGTTGCCTTTCGAAAAGACCTCTCGAGAAGACGAATCCTGCAAAAGGCTTCTTGGCACTTTTGATTCTCCTGGGCAGATTTCTCCATCATTCTGCGAACCAGTTGCGGATGCCGCATTACTAGGGACTTCGGTCCATACGCTAGTTTTCTTCTGTCGCAAGCGATCCACGTGAGTGAAGTGTAGTCGCCCTTGAACTCTAATCATGTATGTGACTGGGCTGACAACTTGCTCAACAGTACCTTCTTGACATGATACCGGCTCACCACGTGTGGTCTTTACGTACACTCTGTCTCCCACAGAGAAAAATTCAGTGGGTCCTCTGTGGCGATTACGTCGCTCCGTGTCGTTTCAGGTGTTCCGCCATGCCTCCTGCAAAGCTTAGTTTAAGAAGAGACAATGTAATTCAGGGCAGGCGCTTAAGGAAAACTTCCGCAGGCATCCGAGAAGTCATCGAGTGTGGGGTGTTTCTATAAGAAAAAAGAAATTTGTTGAGACGTTCTTGTACTGTATTCTTCACTCCAGCATGCTGATCGCTCAAAACATGCTTCAAGAGAGCTTTCTTGGTTGCTCTTACCAGTCGTTCTGCCGCTCAATTAGAAGCGGCATGGTAAGGAGGGGTCCTAGTATGCTTGATACCCCTGTGCCTCAAGAACTCTCCAAAGTCATCCGAAGTAAACTGTGGACCGTTGTCTGTTACAATTTCGTCAGGGTAGCCGTATGCGGCGAATAACGTGTCCAGTTTTTCCAAGGTTCTCGTGGTTGTAGTCGATGGCATGACAAACACTTCAACCCACTTAGAGTACACGTCACGAGTAGATTTACACCATCTTTGACAGCGTAGTTGGCGTGAATCCTCTCCCAGACTTTTGTGTGATACCGCCAGGGTTGTAGAGGACCTGTCAACTTTGCTGGACGAGTGCTTTGGCAGACTTGACAATTCCGGGCGGTTTCTTCTACGTCTTTGTCGAGTGAAGGCCACCACACGTACGACCGTGCAAGCATCTTCATACGACTCATTCCTGGGTGTCCCACGCGCAGCATTGAGAGAACAGGAGCTTGCAAAGTTTCTGGCACGATCACCCAATTGCTCCTAGTCAAGCACCGCTGCTCTGCAGACAGGTGATCTCTGTGTATGAAAAATGGCCGCAGTTCGTCAGGGTAATGCTGTGGCCATCCTGAAAGAACGTAGCTTAAAACACGTGTTAGAACAGTGTCTCGTTTTTTTCTCGAGCAATGTCTTTCGCTGTCAGCGGGGTTGCGTGGAAAACAGCTAAACACTCCGGTTCGTTGTTCCTAAAACTTGTAGACAGTGGCAGCCGTGATAGCGCGTCAGCGACTTCCATTTTCTTGCCGTTCCGGAACTTGAGATCGTACTGATACGCTGTCCACGTCAGTGCCCATCTCTGAATTCGTTCAGCTGCTAATGATGGCAGTGGCTTATCGCGCTCAAGAAGCTCAAGAAGCGGCTGATGGTCGGTGTATAGACTGAGCTTGGGCCATACAAGTAGCGATGGAATCGTCGCAACCCAAATATGAGTGCGAGGGCTTCTTTTTCCCCTTGAGCATAGTTGCGTTCACTGCTGGTTAATGTGCGCGAAGCGAATGCGATCGGTCGTTCGGTTCCGTCAGGCATTTCGTGGAAAATCACAGCTCCCAAGCCGTAAGCGGAAGAATCGCAACTAAGTCGAATTGGTTTTGTAACGTCGTAGAAGACTAATACTCCGCTGTTCAGAATCATTTCCTTCATTTCTTCGAATGCCTTCTTGCACTGTTGCGTCTATTCCCACTTGCGGTCTTTTTGAAGAAGCTCATAAAGTGGTGCTACCACAGTTGCCAAATTCCGCAAGAATTTGCCGTAGAAGTTTAGAAGACCCAAGTAGGCTCTCAGTTACTGGGCTCTGGCGCATATCGCACTGCTTTTATCTTTTCAGCGGTGGGGTAGATGCCCTCCTCCGAGACCTTGTGCCCGAGGTAAACCACAGAATCGCGAAAAAAATTGCATTTTTCTTCCTTCAGCGTTATGTTGTGGTCGCTGAATGCTTTCAGGACTTTTGTAGCAGTTGTGTAGCAGTATTCTGCACTGTGGCCAGTGATGATGACGTCATCTATACAGCATCCTACGTTAGGAATTCCTTCTAGGACTTTGTCCATCACGGCCTGAAATAAGGCCGGTGCGCTCGCAATTCCAAATGGAAGTTTTTGGAATTCATATAAGCCTTGATGCGTGTTTATCGTGAGCAGTGGCTTGGACTCTTCACTGAGAGGCACTTGCTGGTACGCCGAGGATAAGTCCACCACGGAAAATAATTTGCCCCCAGCTAGCGTCGAATATAAATCCCCAGGAAGTGGTAGTGGATATCAATCAGTGTTGAGTACTCGATTGATTGTTACTTTGTAGTCTCCGCAAATTCCGATTCCGCCTCTACGCTTCGTAACTGGTACGATGGGAGTCGCCCACTTGCTCGTAGTTACTTTCTTTAAGATGCCTTGACTCTCTAGTTTCCGAAGTTCTTCGCTGGCTGCCTCTTTAGTAGCGAAAGCACAAACCTGGCTTTGCAGAACACAGGCATAGCATTTGGGTCTATCGCTATTTTTGCTTCGAAGTTGTGAACTATTCCTGGTGTCGTACGGAAGACTTCTAGAATTTTTTCCCGCACAGAACTGACATCCGCGCTTTGTGTGACAGCACTGACGGTATTCCAGTCAAGTTGCACCTTTTCAAGCCAATCTAGCCCTACAAGCGTAGGCATAACCTTGCCCTGGTCCTCTACTATATGTAGCGGAAGCTCTGTTCTGCAGCCGTTATGCTCGACGGTTACGGTCGCCTGTACTCTCAGCTTTACAGGCTGTCCTGTATAAGTTTTCAACACTGCCTTTGTTGGTTTGCATGCAGTTTGCGAAAACCATTGTTTCAACGTACTTTCAGGCATCAATGCGACAGCTGCGCCCTCCAAAATCATAGAAATAGGCTTTTCTACAATCAGCAAAGACATTTTGTAGCCTTGTTTCCCATCTCTCGCACACATCACGACGTGATACGTCTGGGAATTGTCCGATTCCTCGTCTGTTGCTTCAGCGTAGTTCCCCGGACGGTTTTTCTTTTCTCAACACATCGTTTGCAGATGCCCCGTTTTAGCACACACGCAGCACTTCGCGTTGCGATACCAG